CTTTCTACAGAACTACTTGACCATCCAGCCAAAGATTAGTACCATATCTTATGTACTAATAACTATAAAAGATATACACATATATACAATATATACCCATATATACAAAACTGAACGAGAAGACTATTACCTTACTATTGGTGTAAGCGGAAGGGGGACCGTAGACAAGGAACCCACTGCTCGACGCCAGAAAGGAGAAGTTGTACAACAAGAAGATGCTGCCTGAAACGTTGTTCGCCAACGGATAATGAAGGTCTGAAACGTATGAAGACGGAAAATAGGTTTTTTTTGGATGTTTTGGGGTTTTAATTACTTTTGGAAAGTATCATTAAGCAAAAATTATGGGATCCAAATTATACCTTCCAATTAATCAATTTTGCATTTTAAAAAGAATTTAAAATTAATTTGTAGATACAAGAGGATATTGAAGTAATTTATGTGATGGGTACCTTCGTTGTTTCATGACAAATGTGTAAATTCTATACATTTCATCCTTTTATGTAATTAGAATCTTAAAATAGACGATCAATGTACTAATCTCTTTTACTAAATTAATTTGCTTAATATCCTTACTACCAAATTTCATTTTGTTGGGCCAAACAAGGTAAGCCCAAATCCTATTTACCCATTCACCTTTTACATATTAGGTTTGTTTTTATTTTTTACCTAATATTATGTTTTGTTAAGTGGCCATATAAATAAAAAGAGATGAGCTCTTCTTAAAAAATATTCAAAAAAACCCTAGCCACCAAACTTGAAGCAGGAAATCTTGAAAGAGAGGAGTCCATACCCACCACCACCATCGTCGTTGTGAACCGCCGCCGACATGCACAAAGAGTCTGCCGCCCGTCGAGCAGATCCTGCCGTTGTTAAGGAGCTATAGATCGGCCCGGCGTCGTGATCGTTCGACAAAGGAGTTGATTGGGTTATGGGTTTGACATTGGGTAGATTGGAGGTGCAATTCATTCGTTCTACAACCGTCGACGTCGTTTTTTTGGTGGGTAGTCGATCTGTGATGGGCTGTCCGTAGTGACCAGAGAAGTGGGTGTTCAAGATCCGACGAGATCTTGATCGAAAAAGGATTCCGAGTTCGTGTCATTGGGTGTTCTTCGTTGGATTCGAAGACTGAGCGTGAAAGGGAGATCTACAAAGGTTGTATTTCTTCATTCTCTTTATTTTCTTTACAAAATAATCTCTTACGAATATACTGTTGTGTGTAATATTGTACATTTCGATCCTTATTTCGATCCTTAATAATATTTGACTATATTTGACTCGCAAGGGTGTCCTCCTTGCAAGTGGATCTAGGTCTTAATGGACTGAACCACTATAAATCTCATGTTATCTCTCGCCTATACTAATTTTTGGTTCTATTTCAATTCTGTCCCGCATTATAAATTGTTGAAAATTGCTTGTATATTTACTATTTTCACTAAATAATTGTTGGAAAAATATTGGGATTGTTCTTGAGTTAATAACAATACCATTAACTCTCATACTCTTATACTCTTATGAATTACAAATCCCACTATTTTAATGGAGCCTTTGTACACGCATCTTATACAAGTTGAATGAGAAACGACATTGTTCTGCACTCTTCGTCTCTTCTCCATTTTATGCTTTTAATGCTCTTATTCTTATTTTATTCTTAGTTTTATAAAAAAGTAAATTTATTCATCTCTCTTTCTTCTCCTCCACCTCCAACTAGTACTTGTTGTCGGCCTAATGAACCACCGTTGATCGTTCAGCATCATTGGGTTCGAGGCTCAAAGGGTGGCCCAAGCCCAACTCAAGTTCGATCTAGGGTCAACGTTTGAGTGACCCAGTCCTTCCATTAATTAGTCCTTCCATTAATGAGATCGGATATGAATCTTCATTTTTTAACTTAGGTCAAAACTGTAGGCCATGGTATTTAGTCCAATTAAATAGGCAACATCTTTCAAGGAAACTTCTACCTTCCCATTATTTCTTTTAAATCTATTTTTGTTTTAAAAACTACAAAAAGAATTGAAACATTCCAATTCCCTTTTAAATATCTTAAATATGTTTAAAATTTAAATTATTTTAAACATATCTAATAATATTTAGGTTGTAATTTTTTTAATACAAAATTTTCTTTATAAATATCAACATCATTTTCTTTTCCTCCACTCAAATTCTATTTCTGAATCTCATTTTCTCTCTAATTCTCGATCTCAATTTCTCTCTAATTCTCAATCTCAATTTCTCTCAAGTTTCAATTCAAAGGGTTTAAGTTTTCAACTTTTCTCGTATTTAACCTGTGTTCATCTCAAAATTTTTCAAATCTTCCAGTATTCCTAATTAACTGTTTCAGTTAAAATAAATAAATTTCACATCTTCCAAACTTGTTTGTTTCAACTATTTCCTAAATCTTCTCTCATTCAATAGTAATTTCTTTTTTTAAATGGCTCATATTCGCAGTCACAAATAATCTTCATCTCACCATTGCCAGTGAGGATGAAGTTAAATTTATTGAAGTTGTCGGCTCACAATCTCAATTTCAAAGTTCTAGAAATATAGAAGCAACTACTGCAAGTGTAAGTACGTCTATTGTTGAAATTGTTCAATAAAATACATGTAAGAGAGTAGCAGGGACTATTTTGAAAAGGTAGAAAAATTTAGATATGTAAAAATAGAACTAAGACCAGAGTGCAAAAGGTAATTTTTTTAAAAAAAGATGGTACTAGTCATCTTATTAGGCACATGAGATCTTGTATTAAAAAAATAGTACAATGTAGATATTGGAAAATATATGCAATTAGGTAATTTACAAAGTTTTCTTATAATAAAGAATATGTTAGATCTGAATTAGTAGATTACATGATTAGTGCATAATTTCATTTTACTTTCATAGATAATCATGATTTTACTGGTACTATTCAGAGATTGTTTAATCCACAATATTAAGGTTTTTCGGCTTCTACTATGATATGTGGACTTCTTATCATCAACAAGGCTATCTTTGTTTAAAAGCACATTATATTTATGTTGATTGAAAATTATGCAAACAAATTATTTCATTTAAAATTGTCGAGTCTCCTCATACTGGTTATATAATAGGAAATGACATATTAGAATTCCTTAAAGAATGAAATATTGTTGATTTAGTAGCATATAATTTTTTTAGTACAACATATGGGAGTAGAGATCGAACTCACAATCTCTTGGTTGGAGATATATGCCAATTACCGCTGAGTTATGCTCACTTTGGCAAGTGACAGTAGCATATAAATAGGTTTTATATTTGTATTGTATTATTGAATAGCATAATAGTTCTCGTCATGTTAATATTGTACAACTTACTGAGCTTGATTGGAGATATTGATTTCCCTTATTTACAAGGGTAAAAAGGAACTAAATTGATGCTGTTATTTACCGTTTTACACTCATAAACCGTGTTTTAAGCTTAGTTTAGTTTCCAAAACCTTCCATTTGGAGGTATCTTAGGTTATACATGCATATAGGACATTTTTACATCATTTAGAGTTGATTTCTAACGGAAATTACAATTTTGTCCAAATTTTTGTGTGTTTTGAAGCTTCCCCAAGCCTTTCCATGTGTCTTCCATGCATTGATGATGGTCAATTCAACAACAAACCAACTAAAAGATGTTGTAAAGGGATGACTCCCCATGAAAGTCTCAATCTCATAACCGCTTTGAAGTCCCTATAAATACGCTCTCTCACTTCAATCATCATCCTCAAGTGATCATTTTCAGCTTTAGACACTTTACTCTCAGCTTGTTTATGTTTTCCCTTTTAAGTTTTTAGTTGTTGTTGTTTTCAACTTAGTTTATTTCCAAGTGTCCTTTATTTTCCAGCTTGTTATTCTTCAATTGTAAATTTGATCTTATTCAATTAAAATTCCAGCAAGTTCATTCATCTCTGTCTCTCTATCTCTCTATCTCTCTCTATCTTCGAAGTTGTAATCACACGACCTTGTGGAATTGACTGACTATTGCTCCCCAATCTTGAAAGAGAAGGGGTTAGGGTCATTCGAGTTACAACTCACCCATTTTCAATTTGTTTTAATTATATTCATCTTTTAATCATGTCTCTTGTTTACATCAATGTTAAATTCTGTTTTTCCTCTAAATTTATGAACTAAATTTATTTTCCCAAGCCCGATTATAGATGGTTAGCTAAAGTTTTTAAAATCCAACAAGGCAAGAGATGTTTTTCTCTTCTTCTATCATTTATAATTGTTTTCTAAAGTTAAAATTTGATTTGGCCAATTAATGTTTTAACCAAACATCAATACTGAAAGAGTTGATACATTTTCATAAACTTTGGAGAGAAATACTTCGCTCGGGTAGCCTAGACATAGGACTTTGACCTAAGGTTATAATTGGTCCTTATTTAATTAAGTTCAATTTTCTATAGACATATTAGGGATGAATTTATACCTTCAAAATCACTTTGGCATAAGAAGATGGTAAAGCAAAACCAATGAAAAGTATTGAGAGGCACCTGGCACCTAGTTGAAAAAAAATTGTCGTATTTTTAACTAATTCGAAATAGCTGGACGGGATTTCTTGCATTGAGTCTTAAAATACCAAAACCAACATTGGCTTCATTTGTCCCTGAGGATTGATACCTGGAATTCTGTTTTACTAATTGTGACCGGTGTTCACTTACGCTCTATCATTTATTTTAATCCAAAATCCCAAACAAAATATGCATCAATTGTTCGAGATTTTATAAATGTTTTTATACTTCGACAAAATTTTTTTGTTCAGTATATCCTTCTAGTATTTGTCAAGTTATACCAAATTTACTGCATATTTGCTTTATGTTTAAGAATTATTCTAATGTACATTTATTTAAATATGTGATTTAGAATGAAAGAAAAGTTTAATAAATATTTTGATGATTTACCTTTGCTTGGAATGTTTTTTTATCCTAGATCATTTTTTTATACTTATTTATATTTATTGTTTGATAGTAATACCAATAAAATTAATGATATACGAAAAAGGGGTGTACAATGCCAAATTTAACATTTATCAATCCACGAGACCAAAAAACTTGGAGAGCGGACCAAATGCTAAATGTTTAAAACAACCAGAAAAAATTATTACTCCATAAATAGACAATAGGATGCGTTGAGAAAAAAAAAAAAAAAAGCAAAAAAAGCACATGAGCAGATTTCCATCTAAACACGATTTTGAAACGATCAAGTAAACTAGTTGATAGATAAAGAAACTTGAATCACATGAGATCCATTCCAAAGAGAACAATATGTGTTCCCGTCGATCTCCATTGATCTCCATCTCATCCAGCAGCACAGAAGTATATATGAACCAGGATTTGCAAACCTGTGTGTAATTACTTTCCCTACAACAGAACACAGCATCAAGAATCTGAATTATGCAGATGAGAACAGGGAGATAATAGGCATCCCCTGTTTGAAATTAGGAAACCTCTTTCTCGACCTCTGTACCGAGAAAGTATTAGATAGTGCAGATATCGACTCGGCTTTTATGGAGCTGAAATGCTGGGGTGATCCAGCTTCCGCAACTGCATTGGATGCCTGACCAGTTGAAGTATCCCAAACGAGCTTCACAATGAGCACACGATAACTTGCCTTCCAATGCACCTTCTTCAACTGGGCAACAAAAGAACAAAAATTCAACGTTCCATTGTTCATAGTTGTCAATCCAATAAAAACTTCCAAATGATTCTTATTTTCTACAACTTAAACCAATATGGATCACTTGCTCCCGAATGTAAACCTCACTTTGTCATGTCAAACAGAAATCATAGTTTTTCATTCATGGTACCAAAAATTCTACCTCTAGTTTTGGGTCAAAAGTATATGTTATAAGTCTTATCTCTACTACTACACAGCATATTTTCTTTTCCATCAAACTATTCTCTTTCCCTCCCTAAAAAAAAATGTCCTAATTTTCTATGAAAGATAATTGCCTGCATGTATTGTCAATGTAAACTTAGTTCAACGGGTTAAAACACTTATTTCCGACCAAAAGGTCATGAGTTCAAATCTCCATCCCCAGATGTTGTATTAAAAAAAAGAAAAGATAATTACCAGCGTGAAATTAATTATCAAGGAGTTTCTCATTTCCATGGTCGACCATTCTCTTC